GTCTGGGCGCAGAAATCCAGAGTCCTCCAGACACGCAGAGAGGCCAGTGAGGGCACCCCAGATCTGCCCAGCTCCTCCTCTGCAGACCTATGGCCAGGCGCGACTGCTAAACAGGCTGGGCTAGGCTGGTTGTGTGGGCCAGCCCACCTATCGGGAGCTCAGCAGGTCTCCAAATGAAGCCTGGAATGGGGAGGCTGATGTGGAAGCCTCAAACCCACCTCTCGCCTTCACTGCACCTGGAAGCCTGAGGGAACTCCAGCAGTCTGGGCGCAGAAATCCAGAGTCCTCCAGACACGCAGAGAGGCCAGTGAGGGCACCCCAGATCTGCCCAGCTCCTCCTCTGCAGACCTGTGGCCAGGCGCGGCAGCTAAATAGGCTGGGCTAGGCTGGTAGTGTGGGCCAGCCCACCTATTGGGAGCTCAGCAGGTCTCCAAATGAAGCCGGGAATGGGGAGGCTGATGTGGAAGCCTTAAACCCACCTCTCTCCTTCATTGCACCTGGAAGCCTGAGGGAACTCCAGCAGTCTGGGCGCAGAAATCCAGAGTCTGGCTCACATTTCTACAGCTGCAAAGATAAGACAGCAGTCTGGCAGGAAGTAAAACCAGTCCCCAGGCTATGGGCAAGCAAGGCAGTGAACAGGACCAGTGTCACTGGACTGACATCCCTTAGCAGATGAAATCACTTCCTTATTTCAGTTGCCCACCTAATCAGGACAATACACTGTCCAAATACCACTGCTGCTCTTGTAAACATGGTTGTTAAAGTAAGCAGAGAGAGAGAGAGAGAGAGAGAGAGAGAGAGAGAGAGAGAAAGAGAGGATACTAAGGCTGTACCCAACACGTGATGACCCTACATCCCAAGAAGCAGCGAAGGCCCAGCATAGCACAGCGCTCCCCAGGTCCCTGCTCAGCAGTCTTAAGGCAACCTCGGCCTTTGGAAGTTCACTGTGGAGAAGCGCACCCTTGTGTGGGCTAATCTATCAACTTCGAGAGCTAGATAATGAAATTCTCATTTCACATTTTATCAAATGAGAAATTCCTCCCTTGCTGAAGAATCTCCTCTAAGGTACCTGTATGTCTCAACTAATTGTGTAAGCAGATACTCTGGGTGACTATCATTTTGTGAATTCAAGAGACAGCCTTAATACGAGGTCTCACATCCTGCAGAGCCAATCTATTAAACATTTACTTTATGATTATCTACAAAGCATAAACTCTTCACCAGGTATCAGGCCCAACAGGACACCAGCTATCCTCACACAGCTGATTCAGAAGGGTGCTGGCGGGAGCAGCACATTCTTTTCTTCCTGCCCCCACTGTGACAAACATGACAAGACAACAATGTTTATTTGAGCTTTCAACCTCTTTGGGCTGATGGCTCTATTTAAATAAATCTGCAGCAAAATAGGGTAATCAATTTGAGTCATGTTCCTGGAGTTTGAGAACTTAATTGCCTTTATTAATTATTCATCCTCTTCAAGCAGGAAAGCCTTTATTAATTTTCTGTTCTTGGGAACCATATAACTACATCTCAAATGTCTTTACTTTTTACCCTTCAGGTGAAGAAGTTGGAAAAGAAACACGAAGGAAACAAAGGTGCCCTAAGTGTGGAAACCCAGAAAGCATGGCAGTATATAGTCACACACTCCCCAATGAAACCACCTAGAACAAGGTTCATCTGGGCACTCGAATCCCAGCATTGCACTAAGGCTGTCATCATTACAGTAGCTTAAAGGGAGAAGATTCTGACCACAAGTTCCCTTGAGGAGGGGCTCAGGATGAGTGTGTGTGCAGGGTGGACAATGGGTCTGCTGCTCATTTGTGGCGAAGATGCAGAAGAGGTAACACCAGGCAGTGACTGTTCCACTCTGCCCACAATGCTTGTCACGCAGACTTCCCTCAAGATAGAGCTCTCTTCAGTCATCATCTGCCAGTACTGAGACATCAGCTGTCCCACAGAGTACAGAGCTTCATCCACCAAAAATTTCAGTTCTTTCTAAAATTGAGAACTGCTTCTGTCTTAAGTTTTGAAACAAAGTAAACAGTTGTTTGGATGTAACTGCTAGACTAGGTAATGAGGCAAAGAATAGCTCAAACTGAAAGAGTATAAACCGGTAAACTGAAATGCCTGATAAATGCTAAGCCATTATCTTTATTTTAGAATAGATATTTTTATGATAAAGAGGCATAAGAACTTTAAAAAACATAAAGGGCCATCATTTAACTCGGGTTATCCCAGACACCTCATTTCCTGAATTCTGTTCAGCACAATCATTTGTCAAGAGAACACAGGAATGGGATTTAGGTCTTACATCTCTAAAAAGTTATTCTATATTAAAAAAAAATCTCGGGGCTGGGGATTTAGCTCAGCAGCATAAGCACCTGCCTTGCAAGCAGGCAGTTGTGAGTTCGATCCCTGGTACCGATAAAAAAGAAAAAGACAAAAAAAAAAAAATCTCAGAATTAGATACATCTTTTGTTTGATCAGATCAGACTTTTCTTTTTCTTTCCTTGGTTAAATAAATATGGTCACAAACATGAAGTCCAGGACAGAAGTGGCCACCTTCAACATTCGACATCCTCCTGCAGGACAGATTGTGTCCTTGCAGAATTACAGTCATGCTACATATTTAGCTGCAGTTGGGGGCGGAATTGTAGGGGAAAGCATTACATAATTTGACTATAATTATTCTGGCATTGTGTAATAAGGAGTTCATTTCCCAGTCTGTAGCAAACGACAGTCACTTGCCTGCCTGGGGTACGGTGGATGCTCTAAATGTCCTTGAATACCCTGAAAAGCTGGACGTGCGTAGGGTCTGGGCTACTGTCTGGGCTTGGGTCCCCTTCGGCTGGGCCCGAATCTGGTAGGACTGGGGAGCTTCAAGGCAGTGAGAGATCCTTAGGGACTTACAGAGCCCTTCACCTTGGGACCATCTAGGTGCTCTGAGTCTAAGCAGTTTTCATCAGCACAATCACCTGAAGCTTCTTTCTTATGCCCTGTGTTGGGTACAATGTTCATTTCCAACTTCCAGGCCCAACTGTACCTGCTCACCATGCACAGAATGTCCCAAGGCATGGTCAGGGACCCTCCTGGCATCTACCACAGCCCATCACATCGAATGCTGCCTGTCATGGTTTATGTCTGTGTCCCCCAGGCCTCATGAGTTTGCATTGTGCATTTGTGATTGGTTCATTGTCTAGTGCTTGGATTGATGGTGTCAATGCTACACCCACATAGGGGTGGAGCCAGGATGTGATGTAATGGCAGGAAGAAGGTGTCTTGCTCTTTGCTGGTTCGAGCTTGCTATTTGCAGCTGCCATGAACGGCGGCCCAGCCATGCCCACCTGTCTTGGAGCCAACTGAGCGTGGACTGAAACCTCCAAAAATTGTAAGAAATAAACCTTTCCTTTCCCAACTTTGGGCTTCAGGTATTTTGTCTCAGTGACGAGCATAAAGTAACTAAGACACTGCCTAAGAAAGTAGCAGTGCTTATTTAAAATGAAACAAGGAACCTGCCTGTTAAACCAATAAAATATTGGTCTGTTCCTTTCTTCCTATAAATATTAAGAGTTAAAGAATTAAGCCACACTCTAAGCTTTTTTTGTGGTACTTATAAAAACATCTAAAATAAAATTATATTTTTACCTTAAATTAAAACCAGTAGACATTCAGAAATAAGAACAATTAATGCACATTATTAAAATGCATAAATTACTGAGTAAAGATAATGTAGTTTTCTAGAAAAATTCTATGAAGTTTTCAGATGGTAATAAACATACAGACTAAAAAGGAATGGATTTAACTTAAACAGTCACGACAGCTTTGGTGCCTTTGCTCATCAAAGGCCTTTCTGAATTCCCACCAGTTTGAGACTCTTTTTCATCTAAGAAAAGTATATGTTCTAACACTTTGCCTTTTAAAGCTCTCTATTTACCAAAAAGCAACTTCCTGGGAAAACCTGATTTTGTAGTCTTTTGCCAGCCCATTTTGCTTCCCAAAAACAAAACAGAATTAGGTTCATCTCTGGAAGCAAAACAAGTACTCAAACTGAGAAGTATGATTATTAAAAGGGCTGGGCATGTGGCTCAGTGGTGTAACACTCGCTTGCCTATGTGAGGCCCTGCATTCAACCTCCAGCACTGCACCAAGGATGTCATCACTACAGGAAGATCTCACTTATCTTCTATTGGGCATAGAGCTTCAGGAACCTCTCCACTAGCCAGAACAGAAGCCATGTAGGGACTTGCTGCAGGCTGCCAGGCAGCACTGGGGCCCGGCCCTCCCAGGGATCAAGAGTAGAGAAGAAGCTCCTCTTGGCCCTGCTCTCTGGCTTCAGGAGGGAGAGTTGGAAAGATCAGGGTTCTGAGAGCAAGCCAGAGCAGGATTGAGCCAAAGTAGGGAGAGGCTAGCACCCTGACAGTGAGACAGAATCTGGAAACAGGATCTGCCCTGCTGCCTTGGGACTTCCTCAGACACTAAGGATCCCGCTGGGGCTGAGCCAGTGGGAAGCCTGCTCTTGAAGTGCAACACACCTGTGAAGAAGCCTCACATTCGTTCCTCAAAGATACTTCATGCATGTACAGGCCACAGACTCCATGAAAATGCTACTGGGCTACACAGCAATTCTGAGAATCAGTATAATAAAGATACCCACCAGTGCCCCAATAATGATCCAAGTGGATGTTTATAAACGTTCAAAGAAGAAGTAGAAAACAGTCCTCAAAAAATATTTTTAATCCTGATCTTCTTATGTAAAACCAAAGAGGCCTTTTCCTGGGTTATGATTCCATAACTGCTGTAAATAGTGGAAATACTGTCAAAAGCAAAAATGTTTCCAAATTATTACATTACACCAAGGGGTTTAGCCACCGCTGTTGACCAGTTGCCATTACCTGTTCAACAGCTTTGAAATCCCTGGACTTCAGCTATAAAACTGTGAACATCAGCATGCTGACAAGTAAGATTTTATGAAGAACTATTAACCTCATGTACCAACTTACTTTGCTACATACCGTAATTTGAACTGTGAGCGAACCTCCCCATGTTCTATTTGAATAAGCTCATTATAGCAAGCAATTATGCTGCTATTCTCCATAAATCTCTGAAAAGAAAGCAGAGATAATACATAAGACATTTCCAATTATTTCTTAGAGAGTCAAATAGAGAAACTTAACAATTGTTCCTACCCTAGGTACCTGTTACATAAGACATCTGTTAGGTAGAGTGAGATGAAAAGGAAAAGCTGTCCAGGAGTCTGAAATGCTTGTTTAAATGTATGAGCAGATATACTTACACTCGGCTCCCTTTATAGTAAACATCCCTTCCAGTATAGTACAGGAAAATAAGCATGAGGTCACAGAATAGATCTCCAAACATGCTAATTACTAAAACAGGTTTGTTCATATTGTACTAATTAAAATTATCAAACCCCAATAGTGAACACATGCAGCTCACACCACACCACTAGGCATTTCTGAGGGGAGAGGATATTCTTTCTTAATCTTCGGAGTGCCTGACACAGAGCGCATAGAAAAGCCAGTGAGCTCAAAGAAAAGACAAATGACCCAATGAAAATTTGGGCAAAAGACCCGAGCAGACAGTTCTCTGAAGCACATATACAAAGCACAAGGAAAGATGCTCGAAATCCTGAGTCATTAGAGAAATGAAAATTGTAGCACACACAGTGGGTCACTTCACACCCACTAGGATGAACATAGTATTTAAAAAAGAAAAAAAGAAAAGTAGTGTCAGTGAGAATGTAAAGAATTAAAACCTTGTACATTGCTGGTGGGGATGTAAAGTGATTTTGTCACTGTGGAAAATGGTTTGAGAGTTCCTCAAAAAACTGAGCAAAATTACCAAATAAGTGAGCAATTCTACTCCTAGGTAAATATCTAAAGGAATTGAAAATAGATATTCAAATGAATACTTATACAAACAGGTCCACAGCAGCATTATTCACAACAGTCACAAAAAGAAGAAGCTGCAAACATACACAAAGTTTAGAAGCAGCCCAATATCCATCAAGAGATGAATAAACTGTGGTAGACACACACAATGGAATATTACTCAGCCATAAACAGTAATGAAATACTAATACACACTACACCATGCATGAACATCAAAAAAAAAATAAAAAAGATAAAATGTCACATTTTGCATGATTTAATTTACATGAAATATCTAGGATAGGCCAATCTCTAGAGACAGAATGCAGACCGGTGGTTACCAGGGGATAGAGGAGTAAAGGGAGAAGTTCTGGGGATAACTGCTTAAAGGGAACTAAGATCTTTACCTGGAGTTGATAAAAATGTTTTTAAAATTAGGTAGAGGTACTGGCTGCATGCACCCACTCCTACCAGGCATACACCACAGAAGCACAACAGCCCGTGGAGAAGGAGAGCCTTTCATACGACAATGCCAAAGTAGCCTTTTACTGCTGTGGTTCACTTTCATACACAAGCACACCAAAAATGCATACATGCTTCAGCAGCTTGCCACACTAATACATGTCTGGAGACAACATTAACAATATTAACTCATATTAATCTTATGTTGTCTCAATAAATTTAGTATTAAAATATTTATACAAGCTTTTCTTCTCCTCATGTGTACATTTTTGATGGACTCTGTATACACCAAAACACTAGGTGTAGGAAAGACAAGAAATTAAGCACTTGTCTTGTACACACACATCAGTATCTACTAAGAAATGAAATGAGAACACATGGTAAGTAAAAAATAGCAAGAAAACAGTTTTAAGGATAATTCTACTTGAGAATGAGGAAAATGCCTCCCATTTTAACTTATAAAAAATATTGACCATGCAAAACTTTCTGCGGAGATTTTTTTTTTCTTTTTCTTTTCTTTTTTTTTTTTTTATCGGTACCAGAGATCGAACTCACAACCGCCTGCTTGCAAGGCAGGTGCTTATGCCACTGAGCTAAATCCTCAGCCCCCATGCAAAACTTTCTAAGCATATGGCTAGCAAGCTATTAAGTAAAAACAGCAACTAGAATTCCAAAGTATTGCAAACTCCTCCATCACCTCTCTGCCTCTTCAACAGCTAGGCAGGTAGAGGGGGAGGACACAGAGCCTGCCTGAAAGACATTTCTTAGACGACCTTCAACAAGTTGACCAGAGAAAGACTCAGTCTCTCCCTCCTTCCCATTTTACACACACACACACACACACACACACGGGCACGAGGGAGAATAGCTTCTCCCTGGTGAATACCTTCAAAGCCCCCTAATTTCACTTGAGCCTCTCATTTCCCAGTTATGGAAGTGGGAAGGACTAAGGAAAGAGACGAAGCCACGTATACCAGGGCAACATATTTTTTTTTTATTTACAAAGCAAAGTTAAACATGGATAAGCTCAGCTCGAACTTTGAGATGGGTGAAAACTGTCTCTGCCTGCAATGGAGCTCCAAGGGCTGTGAGCTGGCATTTTGGAGAAATATTTTTTTAAATTCTGTAATAAAGTGGTGATGGAAGAGTACCAGAAATTGAACCCAGGACCTCTGCACTAAGTTACATCCCTGGCCATCTTTTATTTTTTATTTTGAGACAGGGTCTCATGAAATCACTAAGTTGCACAGCCTAGACTCAAACTTGCAATCCTCCTGCCTCAATCTCCACTATGGTAGGATTACAAGCATGCGCCACCATGCCTAGCTGATAAAGTAAGCTTTGAAAAACTTAGATGAACAGAGTTCAACTACAGGAGCTCCCAGAGGAATCAGTATGCTAAGGGGCAACACTGCTAATGTTGAGGATGGGGAGGTCTCCTCTGATTCCCAAAATTCCTTGACCTCAGGAGCCCATGGAATATCAGAGTTCTGGGAAAACCAGCGTTGCTTTGAACAGTTTGGGAAATACTAATGTAACAGACCCAACAGAGTTTGGAATTAATGTGCAGTTGCATATTTGACATAAATGTGAGCTCCACTTTGAATTGGTTCCCTCCTCTGCAAAAACAGAGAAAATAGCAAATCCCTTATATGTCGAGGAGGATTAAATAAATCACTTGGCCCTGGCCTGACAAATAATAAACTGTGGCTCATCATTTCCTACTCCCTAGGAGGCCTCAGCAGCGGAACTGTGTCCTACAGCTGGGCCTAGACATGAGCTGCACACAGCTGGAGCTTCAGAAATACTTTCTGAGATGAATGAACATCAGTTCAAACAGGAAACAGAACCCAAAGGTGTCTCTACCAGGATGCTGGTGCTAGAGGGCTCTGTTGGGACTGAGCACTGACAGTCATCACACATGCAGGGCTCCAAAGGTGTCCCAAGTGGCAGGTGGGAATATCTGATAGCATAATCTGTCCCTGACCCCCTGCTGATGGATCACAGGCAGAAGGGCTGGTGAATCAGCTTGCAACACTGGGCTGAGTGTCAGACTCATTCAGGAAGGGGAGCAACCTCCAACAGGCAAGAAGAGGCAGCATATTTGGAAGCTGGGTTAAGAGTTGCCAAACATAACATTTTTTCTAGAAACAAACAGCAACTTGGAGATTGTCTCAGCAGCTCCTAAACCACCGTAACTCAAGGAAAGCTGCTGCAAGCTCCTGGTGTGTCCCTTGGAAAGAGCCCCAGTGACCGGGGCTCCTGGCCCAGTTGATGAGTGGCCTCCATCAGTTTGAACCCAGAATTCAAGGTGGTTCCACTAAGGGCTCATTCACCATGGCCACCTGCAAAACTTGGTGACATGGCCAGACCTGGGGAGAAAAAGCCTTCTAGAGCAGCTGTTACAAAATGTGGAAAGAGGAAACAGCGATTGTCTGCCCCAAGCTTTTCTGTGAGCAGATGGGCAATCTCAGGCCTGCAGTCAAGATGTGATTGCCCCAAATGACACCAACTCCAAACCACTGGAGGAAGAGTCACTGAGCTAAAAGCAGAATTCTTAGAGGCTCCGCTACAGAGCATGAGGCTCTTTCTCTGCTATCCCCCAAGCAAGAAGGCAAATAACATCCTCATGCTCGGATGGTCCTGGCGTAGGCCAGACAAGCTCAGTGTTGGGAGCAGTGGCGTGGGGTGATTCATGAATCCTAGGAATACTTTTAGGATTATTTCTCAGCAAATGAACAAGGGAAATAAGTCTCAGCCAGCACATAGCTTCACTGCTGCTTGCCCTCTGGAAGTTCTCCATCACGACTCCGACTCCGAGGTGCTTGCCTGCACATCCTCCCTGCCCTGCATGGGACAGCTGTCAGAGCCACTGCCAGGCACTGCAGGATAAGGGGGTGGGCAGCCACAGAAAAGCACCAGGAGGGGCTGGGACCTCCCCAACCAGATTCTTTCCCCTCTATTTTACATGGGGAGTCACTGAACTGTCTCAATGCCCTCCTGCAACACTGATGCCCCCGCTGAAGTTCACCAAAGCACATACCCACTGCTCCACAAAGGCTCCACAAAGCTGGCCTCTCTGTGGTCTACAACCAAGAGTGAAGTGTTTTTAAGTGCAGGATAAAGCGCTTAAAACACCTAAAGCACCCAAAGGAAGTCCCAGGATACACAGGCACAGGCTGTATTCTGTTTTAAAGGGACACATTGTAACTATGTGTTTGACTCAGTATTGGTACCAAAAGACCTCAGCATATAGAGTAAGCCTAATTACTTACTATGCTAGCAAATCTATTTGAAGTAGTCAATCTCAATATTAAAACTAACTACCAGCATTATTCAAAAAGTTTCACCCAAAGAATTTCTCTTTCCCTTAAACCAGGAATTCACAACACAATACTGGTCATTTATTTCAGTTTAGAGTATCAGCAAAACTTGCCTGGGCTAATATGGATCACTATCCACTTTTTACCCAATAGGAAACCTTTTATATTTTTAATAGAAGTAATAAATATGCTTGCTATGAAAAATTTTGAGCATACAAAGGTCCGCCATAACTCCTCTATAAGAATTTTTTCACTTAGTATTATGAAATATACTCTCTTTGTCTTTTTGAAACAGGGTCTTGCTGTCCAGTTTAGGCTGCTCTTGGGCTCACTTTGTAGCCCTTGCTGATCTAACTTAACAGCGATTTCCATGCCTCAGCCTAATTCAGCAATACTTATATAAAATTTATGCTTCAATTATCCTTTTCTATTCCTCCTTCTCTTCTCCCTTTATTTTAAATCAACTTCATCATCTCATTTCCATGTTCATAACCACAATTTTGTGTCTAATCAAACTTTTACCTTGAGATGCCTGGTTAGTCAGTTTGTGAATTAGTTTCCTTTGGAATAATCAGCTTTCATCTCCAAGCTGAATATCCGTGTTTTTCATGTAGCTGTCAAAGGACTTTCTTTGGCTGATGCTGATGATATAAACCAGGAGATCCTGGACACTGTAGCCAGCCTGCCTGGCCCCAGGGTATAAGCACTTGCTGAGTCCAGGTCACCAGAGCGCTAAGTACCATTGTGGTGAATTCATTTCTTGTAGCCATGTACACCTATTGACCCTGATTAACCACACTGATTTTCATGAGCTTACTTTGGGACTACAGGACTTTTGTTTGCTATAGTAAGATGTATTTTTACATCATTCCATGTCTATTGCTAAAGACATGAAATAGTAAGAGAAAAAAAAAACTTAGCCATTCCACAAAAGCTCAGTGACTTACTGACCCTGCAGACTCAGAGTTCAATTCCCTTACCCGTTCTCACACTGCTCACTTTGCTGTGCGGGGAGACCCGGGTAAAGCAGCTACCTGTGAGAAGTGCTGTTCACCACTACCTACCCGGTTGAAGCCTGCATGGAGAAGAGGAAGGACGGAGGCCTCTTCATGGTCTTCAGATCTGCAGCAAAGCACAAAACATCATCACTTAGCAGATACAAACCAGGATTCCTCACGCTGAGACACAGCATTAGCTCTGAGAGCAGCTTCCTAATTAGCACCTGCTCACAGCATGCCCTTGCCTTCAGGTGCACGGACACCTCTGTCTTCCAGCTGCAAATGGAACACAAATAATGGCGGACACCCCAGCATGTGCCTGAAGGTGACATTGCCACATATAAGCGACTGCCTGTTTTACCCCTGTACAGCCCTCTGGGTGTGGAGCACATATGTGGGAGAATCTGCATCCTGAAACTGCAGTCCCCAGACCTCCTGGAAGGACCACTCCCATCTCAGGGCCCAGGGGGCTCTAACTCTCCATGTGAGGAAGCCATCTGTCAGCAGTGGCTGCCAGACTCCATGTCCAAATAGGAAACAAGTGTCAGCAGGGATACAAGTTAGAAGGGAGGGAAACAAAAACTGACCACCGTAACTCATTTATGAGATGGTGTCCCACACAGAGCCTACAGTTGGGTCCTGAGTACAAGATAAAGGGTGGGAGCCATCTTGTCATGAGGGCTTCCCACAACTGGGCTGTCACCTCTGAGAGAGAAATGTATCCCTAGACAGCCAGCAAGCAGCACGGGGTGCACACCCTGAAAATCAAGAAGGAAAAGTGGAATAAAAGGGCCAGGTGAAAATGCCAATAGAAAGCAGGAAGAGAAGCTGGGTGTGGTGGCACATGCCTGTGATCCCAGCTACCTGGGAGGCTGAGAGGAGGGAATCACAAGTTTGAGTCCAGCCTGGAACAGATAACCAGGGAGGGAAGGAGAAAGGGAGGGAGGAAAGGCAGACAGGAAGTGAAACCCTAGCACTTACTTATGCTATTGCCCATAGCTGATCCTGCCCTCCAAGGAAATTCTGTCTTCCTTATTTCCTCTTTCCCTCAGGAACTCAACTGACACGTAAGAAGGGGTAGAAAAAGGCTCCCAAGGTGTGAATGATGTTCTATTTTTAAGCTAGATGGCACTGACACAGACATTCATTTGATTATTACTGTCCTTTGATAATAGAAAGCAGAAAAATAGATGAAAATCATAAACAAGCCACAGTAAGCCATTACTTGTCAAGGACTAGGAATCATTTGTGCTCTGTGAAGGAAAAAGTGTTTCACTGCAGAGCCCAAAGAACAGGCCAGGTTTGGGGCCCAGCACAGTTCTGGCACCCATGTCCAAGGCTCTTGGACACCGTTGGGATCTCAGGGTGGGCAGGAGATAAGGGCAAGAAACAGGGCTGACAGAGGCTGACTTCTTACTTTGGTTCTACCAACTTCCTCCCCTTCCAATTTTGTCGCCCACCAGGACAATTATGGCGGCCTAATCCTTCACCTTCTTTGGACCACAGTCCCTGGTAGGTATCAATTAAAGGGGTTCAAGGGCAGCATGTCAGAGCAGGACTTTACAGTCACACTTTCCTGCAGGCTGATACTGCTTGAAAACAGGGTGTTCAGCTTTCCCCTGGACCAGCTTGCTGGGGAGCCCTAAACTTTCTCTACAGAGTTGCTAGTTATTAGTTCCTCTGATGCAGACATTGTGTCAAACACCACATAAAGCCAAGTCATGAAGCTCTTACCCTTTCTGTAGCTAAGGACAGCCATGAACTGACTAGGACTATTATTACCTGTAAAGCTTGTAACCATGGTAGCTGGCACAAACAACTATCTTCTCCTGCTGTCCCCCTTATTTGAATGGCCAGCTATTCCAGACTGGACACCCAGGCAGCTCTGCCTCACATCTGCTGGCTTCGTTGTGCCTAGAGCCTAGCTGCTCTTCTTTGCTGTCCAGTATCAACATGACCCATACTGTCCTACTCTAGCCACACAAGAGCCCCCCACACCCACTCTATAGTCCTTCTGTCTGGTGCAGCTAATGTCTCCTCATTTCTGTGCTACAGTTTGTTTCTTCTTAAATAAAACTTGAGCACCTTTCCCATCTCTTTACTTCACAGAAAAAAGATAAGCTGGAACAATATTCTCTCCAGGCTTCCCCCTTGGCATTGGTAGCCATTTCCAGCATATAACGATGGTGAGTAAACTTTATTTTTTCTGAGGTACATGGGAATACACTAACTACAATTACGTAAGATAGTAAGAAAAACCTAAATATTTCTAGAAACTTGTGAAACAAACAAAAAACCCAAAACACAATTTAAAACTGGCATTTTATGGCCCACACATGCCCACTACACAGCTAGTTCAAAACCTGGATGGTACAAAACAAATGTTTTAGTATGAACAGCGTTGGCTCCCACCAGGCTGGAGGTACTTACGCTGGTGACACCACTGCGAGGATCACTGTGTGCTCTGAGGGGTTTGTGGCCCGGATTGACCTGCAAAGACAAAGTTCCAAGCCAAACAAGGTGACCTGTGCTGCTTTAAACAAATAGAACTTCTGCTCTTTGAAAGGGCCCCCAACCAGATCTCCCTCTGGAGAAAATGTCTTAGAACACATAAAAGATGACCAAAAAAAGATGCCTTAGTGGATAAGAACAATCTCTTCATTTTTTAAAGTATGTTAACTCTCAGGTAATTATCTAACAAGTCACATGGCCAATTGTCTACTTCAAAAAACAGCAAACTCCATTTATATTTTACATTTTTTGATTGAACTTCTGAAAAAATCAGCTTTATGATTCCATAGTTACAAGTCTGTACCTGGGGGAGCTAATTGGGTTTGACCTTTTTCCTTTTAAAATCATAGTTGAGAATAATAATAATAATGTACAATAAATAATAAATTTACACCTGGCAGATACACACATGAAGGTTACAGCCTACTGTGGATGCCCCCAATTTGCAGTTGTTCTGTTGTTTATGCTTCAGTACTTACAGCAACCTGGTCATCATTTGGAGCTGAGAGAGGTTGTAATATGGTAACTGTCATCATGGTATTTGCTGAAACAAGCCCACCTGTGCATAGTTGATTCCCTAGGAATGTAACAGGATCAAAATGCAGAAGGATTCAGAATTTGAAGTCTGTGCATCTTCTTAGCAGATGTGCTGTGCTGCAGCTCAGAGTCTGGACTTTTCTGGTCAGAGGATCATGACTTAGAGATCTTTTTATAATGACTCATACATAGTGCAAAGCACCATGCTTTTTTTGACCTGTTCCCTTGATCTGAATTCTGTGTATCCTGTTTCCTCAAGAAAAAAAAAAACCATCATTGCTAAAGCCAACACTACATGTGAGTCATTTGTGCAACCATGTGTACTTGTGTCTCCTTGGCTGTGGGTATCTCTGCTCCTTTCCACGTTAATGGGTTTGCATTATGCATGCACCACCACCGCCACCGCCAGAGCAGCTCCTACTGCTTCAGCCTCTTCAATTCCCAAATCCCTCAGCCTTTATCAAAACATGCATCTTCCTCTGTCCTGATACTTCAGGGCCCATTCTGTGAGTGCAGCAGGGCAGGACCCGGCCCTCTGTGAACAATCAGCTGCCACAGCCTTGTTGGAAAGCAGTCTCCCTCTAGGGGCAAAGGTATTGGACGAGCTCTTCACAGAGCAGCCTGAGCTCACAGAGGGCCAGGTCAGCACCTCCAGGGCTGCACAGTAACTCTCCATTCAGCCACTGTGCAGAACAGGTCCTGGCAAGCCGAAGTTTCACATGTCTTATCCTTAGGAGCTTATCAGATGCCTAGCAGAAGGACCAACACACATAAAATGAGAGACGCATTCTGGTTTCAAGGAAAACACTGTAACCTCGTCACCTTCCCTGGCTTCTCCCCACCCAGGGAAGCCATGTGGGCACTGCCAGGGTGGCGCTCAGGGCTTGGCTTAGACAAGAGGCTGAAATACATGATGTACATGGCTGGGTCAGAGCACGTCCTCTCTTGGCTTCCACCTTCAGGGTTTCTTCCGATTGCCAGCTCTTCTCTCTCAGCACTTCAAAGGAGCTTGTATGATAAGAGAGATCTGGACCTCATCCTGGGGGAGACTACTAAAGCAGACCTGGCAGGTCCAGGATGAGCAGGCCGGGATGCTGCAGTCCAGGCATGTTTGCCTGGTCAAGGCCAAGGCCCAGACTGGCTCCAAGTCAGGGACCCAGGGTCACAGACAGGAAGGAATGCCTGTCTGCCAGGAGCAAGTCCCTACCAGTCTCCTTAGGGAATGTTTGCTGATGAACATTCAGGAATCCAGCATACTTGACATAAGTGGTGAAGGTCAACAAATGCTCATCAGGTATGGATACCTGGCTCCTGAACCACACGGCTTGGCCGCCCCATTGTTTACCCAATCAGACACAGCACACTGGTTAAGACCATAGAAGAATGTAAACCTTAGTTACTAAATGAGGCCTTGGCTTGAGTTAAAAGATTTCTTCCTGTTCAATGAAAGCATATTTTAAATCATTCTACGTATGTCTAAGCACTGTTGTATTTCTACTACAAAACTATGACAGAAAAACAAATGAAGGTCAGGAAAAAGTGAATATAGTACTTAAATATAAAGGGCCTGCTTCTATTCTAAGACTTTTTTCTAGAAAAATAATATATTTACTACTAAAATAACATCCAAATATTTTATATGTATACACACTATATTAAAGAGGAAAGTATTTCTATGTAGAAAAGGTAAGATTTGCCCAGGGATTTAGCTCAGTGGCATAAGTGTCTGTCTGGCAAGCATGAGGTCATGCGGTCGTGAGTTCGAGCCCTGGGACCAAAAGAAAAAAAGGCAGTGCAAAGTAAGGTAAGATTTCAAACCATTAAAAGTGGTTACTTAAGAAAATCTCCTTTGAGAAAATAGAATCATCAGTGCGTAGCAAGGTACTGCTTGCAATAAGAAACTTCTCTTAACCCATTAATTTCTTGTCTGGACCAAAGGTTCTAAGAAGCCATTTCTCACCTTTCTTCGCACTTGCTAGTATTCATGAAAATTCCAGCTCCAAATGTATCTGAACTCTGTCCTGGCCTAGCATTTCATTAGTGACCTCTTCCTGTCTATCTGCACAGCAGCCCACCCCTGCTGAAAGGCTCAGTGCACCCAAACCACCTCCTGTGATTGTGCATTTTTATATGAACAGGCATGTGCTTGCTCTCCAGAGCGCGGCATGTGAGCGTGGAGACTGAACCCTCGGACACCCTTTACTGCCGCAGGGTGGCCCCCTTCCCACTGTTTCTGGGACGCTCACTTCAGGATCAGCCCATCTGTGCCAGGCATGGAAAATTTTATATTTCACACATTTCTGATGTTCATTTGGGGACAGAATAATGAAGTTTAAAATATCTCCTTTATAGCCAAACTAAATCTGTGTAATGAGAACTGTGTGAATTCTGGTATTTTTTTAATGAGCAATCCTTGTGGTAGGAAGCGGAGTAACCTAAAGTTTTTAGGGGGGGGGGCCAGCTCAGACCTTAGAATTCAGTACAACCTAAATGTAGAAACACAGAAAGATAAGACAAGTGCATAGGCATGGGTGACAGCTTTCAACACAGGACCCTGGGTATTCTGCTCAAGGAGGCTAACATAGGGTACAGCAATATTTGGGATGGGACTAAAGACTTCTAGAAACGAAGCCCATTTTGAACTGCTCAGGGACCATAAACATTGTAGAGGGAGCAAGGTACCTGCACACTGCTTCTGCATTGAAGTTTCGAGTCTGTCTGTGATCGATCACAATAATTTCATGATGCTTATCTAGAAAGCACTCGAGGGCTGATTCTGGAGTCCGAGCAATGTTGCATCTGTAGCCAGCTCTGTCGCAGGCCCACCAGAAGCCATCACTCTGACTATCTTCCTTTGCAAAGATCAGCAATACCTGAAACAGAGAACAGAGCAACTTGGCAGATGTCACAGTCCCCAGGGAGTACATCACAAAGAGGTCTAGGATACTCGGGATAGACGTGCTCTGAGCCGTGGACTGGGTACACACCTGTAACTCTAGCACTCTTGGAGGCAGGAGGAGCACAAGTCTTAGCCCAGGCTGGGCAATTTAGCAACTTAGTGAGACTTTGTCTCAAGAAATAAAAGAAGGGCTGGGGATGTAGCTCAATGTGAAGGCCCTGAGCTAAATCCCTAGTACCACAAGACTTTGCCTGGAAGCCACCTGGTTCGACTGGTTGTAGGGGCATTAAACAAGTTATTCCACCTCTGTGGCCTACGTCTTGGTTGTGAGATGTGATCAGAACAACAACCCAAGTGGCATGTAAGAATTGAATGATTAGACACAGGTGCTCAGTCGGACTAGTGGGAAATGCCATTTGCTGCAACCTCAAGTATCGCTTCAAGTATTTTTAATTCCCTAATTAGCTTTATTTTCAAACAAAATGAGTTACAAAATTAACAGCATAGTGAATGTAGGTAGAATGATGACTTGCACATGCATTTATTCAGTTCCAGTGCAAATAGCATTTGCCTCCAAGTCTGAGACTCTCTCCAAACACAGTTCTCAAATACCTATGAAGTCACAGGAACACAAGGAAATTCAAAACCTCAAAAGTTCCTTCAAACACTCAAACCTTGCCAAAGTATGAAAAAAATGATGACACAGAGTAAAGCCAGCAGTAGTAAAACGGGGAAACTTCACCTCTGTTTGCTCACTAAAAAGCTCCCATGGAACAGAAGGAAGCAGTGCGTACAGTTCCCCTCAGCATCCCAATTCTGTGCCAGCCAGAAGGCCAGCAGCAGCCTCGTCACCATCTAACCCTACTCCCACACTGGGGAACTGAGCTTCAGGAGAGCACAGACTTGCGGCCTTGCTCCTGGCAGCCACTCCACTCCCACACCAGCCCCGGCCTGGCCCTTGGGAGCTGCTCAGTAAATATTTGATGACAGATTTAACTATTTATAGGATTTTCTGAGAAATATAAGAAAGTTTATTATTTTTGCTTGTTTGTTTTTGAAACAAGGATGTTGGCGAACAAAATAAAGTCTCCTTGACCATCGTGGTAGAGGGACAAAGGAGACTCTGTGGAGTGTTAGAAATGACAAGTGCTACAAGAAACGCAGCACAGCTGAGCCATGGACCAGGCAGAGCTGAGTGGGTGCGGGCAGAGGCGTGGAGGTACTGGGGAAGGGGTGGATGGCTAATGGAGAAGCCTTCCAGGGAGAGCTCTAGAGGCCCCAGAGGCCAAGACTGTGTCGATCCACGGACACAAGGGGCCAGGGAAGGGGTCAAGTCCACAGCCAAGGACCACATCACAGTTAGACAAAAATCCTTACAACGATGAACTTAGATTTATGCTGCTTTCTCTTTGTGTTTCTGAGGTGTTGACAACTGGGCCTTGCTGGCAGCCTCTCCAGAGTCACCAATCCTAGAGCCACAACACTGCTCTGCTAGGCACTCTGCTTTTCTGTGCAGACCAATCTAGAACCCACACCTGAACCCATCTCCCAGGATTCTTGGGGGCCCTCCCCTTGCCCTGATCACACAGGGCCAGGTACCAGACAATCTGGAACAACCTCTATCACCCAGACAGCCTGAAACACCCCAACTGGCCAACTCTGAGCCTGTTTGCCCACCGTGCCCCACGGACACTGCAGTGCAGCCTTGTCCTTGTCCTCCTCCTGCCCCTCGGCCCCGCTGACCTCACTGCATAGTGGGGCATTTACCCTCCTCTTGGGCAGTTTTTCCAATGGCAACTGTCCCAAGCTGTTGGCCTTACTATCCCTGAATAATAACAAAGTCTACATTTTAAAATAGGACTATCTACAATATGAAGACATTCACCAGAGAATTTCTTAGGGTATTATTTAAAATTCTTTTCATTTATAAAACAATGATTTAGAGAAACTGCTTTTGAATTATTCAACTCCCAAGCAAAGTGAAAATCAATGGGGGGGGGGATTTACATTTCAGAGTAAAATGCCACGGCAGTCAGACTGCCTCTGTTAATGTTTGCCCTGGCTCAGAACAATCACACCTTCTTTAGAAAGTGGGGATAGGACCCAACCAGCCAAGATCAGATTCTTTGTCTCCATCTCCTACATGATAACTGACTTAATGATTTTGTTTCTGGGAATTTAGGATTCGAGCAGAGGGACCCAAAGGTTGAGGATTAGGACCCATGGCCCATTAACAGTAGAGATATTAATGGAAGAATCTTAAATTTCCACTGTCAGGGTGTTCAGAGGTGATCTACTGCCAACATTCTCAAGCTATGGCCTTGTCTTGGACTCTTTCTTGGATCTGAAAAGAAGTACTTTCTATTTCTTATCCTTTAACTTACATTTTTCCATAAAGCAGCTGTCACTTGCCACCAAAACTCAAAACCCATAAAAACTTAAGCCATACAGTCTTTCTTCGACTTTAACATTTTACTTATCAGTATTTAGAGTTCCACTGTTAGACTCGGCCATTCATTAATATTTACAAACCATTCACTAAGGCAAATCTCATAAAATGATTTTACAAACCACATTTCCAAAACCTCATGATTGAAGGTATACAGCTGAATTTGATTCATAAAAAGAAAAAGTAAACAGACCCCTATCCTATTCTTGCTCCAAATAAATTGCTCAACATTCATTCAAAAATATTTACTGATGACATACTATGCAGCAGGTTAAGTGCTGGGACTAAAAAGAGGACAGAGACAGCCAGGGCCAGAGGCCAGTTTCCATCCTTCAGACCACAGCAGAGAGTCAGGGAAACATTAGTGATGCACTATATGTGGTGCATCACCCCACAGAGCAGGGACAGGAATCCAGACACAAGCAGAAGGAGGCAGTTTGTCTGCAGCAATCCGTCCTCACTTAAGACAATAATCCAGCAAAAGAGTACAAGACAATAACAGATCTGGGCAGAAGTCTGAAACAATAAGGCAACATTTTTCTTCTGGAATAGACCTTGGCCAACTTGGGTTCTGTCCAGGGTCAGACACAACTGCTGACAGTTTCCCTTTGCACGCTAGAACCAGCCAGAAAAAACCAACCAAGCGCAGCATTATCTATAAACACAGGTAAAATTATGACTGTTCTGTGACCTTGTAAGATTTCTGTCAAATCATCGCAAGCTCTTTTACTGCCATTCATGTAATGAGAAATGAAAATAAAATATAAAACAAGCATTTATGCAGCACCCTTTAAAACATTCTCAAAACTGAGATGTCATTCTTTTCCAGAAGGTTATCTATCAAGGGTACCTTGAACAGTGCTTGCCACAATCTCCCAACCACATAAGTTGGAACAGGAAGGAGGCATCCTTTCTACAGCTTGGTGAACTGCCATTCCCTTCCACTTGGATCTGCTTTTGGCCTCTCATCTTCTTTCCTCCACAGCCATCACCCTGAGCTCCTTTAATGGATGTGACATGTTTTGTTGGCCTCACTTCCTCTGGGACACTTTCATCTTTCTCACCACAGCGTCCTCTTCAAGACAACGAACCTAACTTTCACTGGCTCCATGACCTGAGTCTCAAAGGCAGCCATGTGAGTCTTCCCACAGCCAGCTGGGTCTCCTCTTACTTTGTGGAATGTTTGGTGCACATTCACTTAAGGCATCATCTCTTTTCATTCCTGGGTTGCACTGTGGGCTCCGTTGAATCAATCCCTCTCTCGATGATCTATCCTGGCACAAAGTCATGTGGTGGTTTATCACTAGGAGACACAAAGCAACACAACTACACACTTTGCTGCCAGAACTTAAGCTAAACAATGAATGGTCAGGGACCAGCTGAAGAGCCTTTGAAAAGGGTAGCATGGAAGGTCACTAATCACATCGCGTATCTGTTGCTTATATAGTGATCTATTAGAGTGAGCAGCAAAATAATTGTATTCTACAAAATTATTCACAGTTAATACACAAAATAACTGCAATCTGAAACACATTTGGTGTGGCTTGGTATTGTCTATTTCATGAAATTTGTGCATATTGGACCAGTGCAAAAGTACCACACTGCTTCTTTCCTTTTTTTTTTTTAATCGGTACCAGGGATTGAACTCACAACCGCCTACTTGCAAGGCAGGCGATTATGCCGCTGAGCTAAATCCCTAGCCCCCACACTGCTTTTCAAGTGTAACTATAAAGATCTCAAACCACCAGGCAGAGCCTCTCTTTCTATTTTTTTAAAAAAAGCCTCACTTACACCCTCCAGGAACCACAAAGTTTAATTCATCTTTTATTATAAGCTAGAATGAGTCTAAGGGCTGACACAGGCTGGGTGAGAATGAGAAGTACGGGCCCACATGCAAAAGCAGTGCCATACTCAGAGGCTGTAACTCTCATGTATCATCAGAGAGCCACCCAACCTCCACTCTGCAGGCAATGACAATGACTCCTGGCCAAAGCAGTGGCAGGGCCCGCATCTCCCCATTCCTCCTCCAGCGGTCTTTCCCAGCTCTGGCCCATGTCATCTTGTTCTGCTGGAAATTCTTGCAACCATTTCTTTTATAAATTTTACCAAGAAAAAGATGAGAACTATCTTTTGAGGATAACAATAATCTGCCTTGACAGCTGTATTAGTCAGCTTTCCTGTCACTGGTACAAAATGCTCCATACTACAACTTGAAGGCAGAGAGGTTTATTTGAATTATGGCTTGGGGAAATTCAGTCCATGGTTGGCTGGATCTAAGCAGAAGTTGTGTGGTGGACCAAGAGGATCAGGGAGGAAATCTGCTCGTCCCATTGTAGCCAGGGAGCAAATAGAGAAGGGAAAGAGTGGAGACAAAAATGCAGCCTTCCAGGTCATGCCCACAGTGACTCTCTTCTTCCAAAGAGGTGGTACCTGTGACCAGCACAGGCAGCCATGAACTCATCAGTGGACTTATCGCTGATCCCCACATTCAGAAGCCCCACCTTTGGACATGAGACTTTTGGGGG